CATTATTATATTGTTATTATAGTTATTATTATTGTCATTATTAGATTGTTTTTATTATATCGTTATTATTATTGTCATTATTATATTGTTTGTATTATATCATTATTATTATTATTGTCATTATTATATTGTTTGTATTTTATCGTTATTATTATTGTCATTATATTGCTTATATTATATTGTTATTATTATTGCCATTATTATATTGTTTTTATTATATTGCTATTATTATTGCTTTATTATTATATTATTTCTAAGCAGTGAAATTCGAAACCGTACGTAGAACGCAGCCTAAAGTTTGATTATTATTAATTAATTTGTACTATTATTTGATTATCTAACAAGCCTTGACAATTTCGATCCCCCTCGCAAGGCATCCTTTCAAATAAACCGAATGGATTCCCCCGAAACGTCGAATCCTCTCATAATCCCGTGTAAATCCATTCGACACAGCGAGACAGTCGGCATATCCTTTCTGAATGAAAAGCGTCAGGGAACCCTCGTCATTCAGTTTCATTCGTGAACCAGAACGATTCTCGTCGACAAAAGACGGATCTCGGAGGCTGGCAGCACAGGGGGATCAGATGCGAGGCGCGCGGAGCCCGCGCGATTTTTTGGAATAAACCGGCAACGAGATTCTTGTTTGTGGACGAGCATCTTGTTTGCATCGGCACGAGAGAGAGACATTGTTATCGGACGCACTTTATTTATCTTTCCATGGATGTATGTACATAGCTTCGCACAGCTACTATTTACAAATAAATACAGAGTTTTTTGGGGGGGAAGGGGCGCCGTTTTCCAGGCGTTGTTCGTCGTTCTCGGCGATAGGAACTCTTTTCAACAGTCTGTTCGTTGCGCGTTTGAGCAAGAAAGTTTAGGCTACTTACATACTCTTATTACGTAGAAAAATATCGTTCCGTGAGTCTGTACATTTCTGCTTCGACGAGATGACGCGAGACTATCACTTCTTACACCTAGCGAGGTTCTTTGTACACTTCCTCCGTTCTGCTATTTTACATCGTTCTGTTTTTTTTGTTTTCTTTTTAGCCTACTTACGCTTAACAAACAAATGTACATATCGTCATCGAACCGATCTCTCTCCGATGAAATGTCCGCGAGAATTGTTCGCGAGAGCGTCGCAAGCTCGATTGACCGCTCAATCGACGACGAACTTCAAGATCGTCCTCCTGACATTTCAGATTCTAATGTTAGAACAGTAACAACACTGCGTTTCTCCGATTCTCGACGGACGAAAGCCGAAGCCACCGATTCCGTGGCATCGAGTACAACAATCCAACAAATCGTTCGAGACGCTTCAGCCGACCAATTAATGTTATTTGTACACCGATCGACCGGCCACGATCCTCGAAAGTTCCGCTCGAGGAGAGCCCGCGGTATCCCTGAGTAGATCATCGTCGACGGAACAGGCCCGTGATCGCCGATCAAACCTCCTCGACCTCGACGTTCTTGGTCTTCTTGAAGACCTTCAGCGCGCAGATCGCCGCCACCAAAACGACGGCCGAGACGGACGCGGCGAAGATGTCCCAGGGGTAGAGATCGGGCAGGAAGTTGGTCTCGATCTTCTCCGCTTGAACGGAAGTGGGCCTGGTGTCGACCTCGATGGGGAAGCTTCCCGGGCCGTCGTTCGACGCGATCCTGACGAGGTACTTGGTGCCAGGGAGCAGCGAGATCTGCGCGGAGTTCGTGTCGGCCACTTGGTTGCCCATCAGACCGCCCGTTTCCGGCTCCCAGGACACCACGTAGGTCTCTTTGTTCCCGGACTGATCCCTGTCCACGTGGTCGTTGTACGCGCTGCTGGTCGAAGGAGTGTTGTCGGCCTCCATCGAGTCGTCGCCGCGATCGTCCTTCCTCCTGAAGAAGAATCTACGGAATATGTCCTCGGAGATCTGCGAGTCCTCTTGGCTCCTCCACTCGGCCAGCACTTTCTCGCCGTACTTCTCCAGGAAGAATTGTCTCACTCGATTGTTGAACCTGACTTGTTCCAGGGCCCTCTGTTTTTGCAGTTGGGTCTGCACGTCCTTCCAGGAGATCGTCGCCTCGTACAAAGGACCCTCCTTCAGCGACTCCAGCTTCGGCACCCATTCTTGCCAACTGTAGTGACGCACGCCGTCCTCCACGGCGACGATGATCCAGGTGTCCGGTCGCAAATTTGGCACTCGTTCGCCGGGGTAGTATCCGTCCACCCTCCACTGTTTGTAGAGCTTGCGCATCACCACCGCGACGTCGAATCGGTCTAGGTTGAGCGGCGATTTTTTCGGCGCGGACAGCATCGAAGGCAGGTACTTCTCCTCCACCCTCGTCTTGCGGTAGGTGCACGCTGTCTGGCAGGCTGGACACTGGAAAGGGAAGATCTCGAGTTAGCATCTGTGTTGGTACTTCGTGGAAGACTGATGTCTTAATCTACAGGGTGTCCCAAGAATGTCTCGCAATCCGAAAGTGGCGGGTTCCTCGGGTCATTTGAAGCAACTTTTTCCTTTACAAAAATTTTTTACGAGGCACCGTTAACGAGTTATTGACGAAAAACAGTGACCAATAAGAATCGATTACGGCTGACGCGAGGCGGCCCAGCCAACCAGCGCGCGAAGCTCAGTTCCGCTCATTGGCTCGGCCGCCTCGCGGCAGCTGAACTGGGATTCGACCGCCTCGACCGCTAGCGCCGTTGGCTCGGTCGCCTCGCGCCAGCCGAGCTCGCCTTTCATTGGTCACTCTGTTTTCGTTAATAACTCGTTAACGGTGCCTCGGAGAACATTTTTGTAAAGGAAGAAGTTGCTTCAAATGATCTGAGGAACCCGCCATTTCCGGATTGCGAGACAGTTTTGGGGTACCTTGTATATTGTTTTGCTAATTTTTAATTCGTTTGCTTAAATGTCTATTGCAAATTCATATTTTGGCGGTCGACGTTACAGTTGTATGGAAAAGAATGTTGTTTTAAAAAATATACGCGGTGGCTGAGGAATGAACAAGTTCATTCTGACACTGCAGTCTACGTTCATAATAGTGCAATTAAGGGAAACATTCGTGGGTTGTTATTATTATTTAAGTCGAGGGCATGTATAAAATACGACGAGATTGTTTCATTCTAACGTTTCAAATTATGAATGAGGTAGCATTTTAAACTGAGTGCGAACTCGTAATCTTTATCTTCTCATCTCACAATTAAATGTAAGGCGGATCTTCTCGATTGTTTTTGCAATTTTAATATCACTCGAACTATAAAATCAGTCGAATTTTCTTACACTTTTTTCATAAGTGCAGTCAATTTTCCCTAATTCGCGCTGAGACTGCGCACGAAAATGGACAATTCGGGGAGAGGAGATACGATTATTCGAGGCTTGTGACTCGTTTTTATAGTTACCGATTGTCAACAACCATAAAAACGAGACACAAAGTTATTAATAATAATCGTATAATAATCGTATCTCCTTTTCTCGAATTGTCCATTTTTGTGCGCAGTCTCAGCGCGAATTAGGGAGAAATTACTGTAATCGTATCTCGTCTTCCCCAATTGTCCATTGTTTTGTACAAGCTGATGGTCAATTAGGGAGAATTTACTGCATTGAGAACATGTTTGATGTTTTTCTGAGAATTGAAACAATTTCAAAGATATTCCTTATGGCTTACGGAATTCTTATTTTCACAAATTTTTCAGTCTACTGTTCAACTGTGATTCAATAACTAATTCTTCGTGTACACGTTCTTGAGATTTTGAATAATTTCGAAGGTATTTCTCGCGTCTCGCGCAATTTTTACCTTCGAAACCTTCTCAGGCTACTCTTCAACTCTGATTCAATAGCGAATTTCTGATCTACACATTTCGAGAAAATTTTAGAAAAAGAGGAAGCCTGTACTCTCCAACTGCATTTTCAACTCGAGTCTTTCAACTCGAGTCTCCGACGGAGACTCGAAGTCTCGGGTCCCGCGTTATCTCTGGCCAGCATCGGTCCTCCGAAGGGTACATTAGAGACGCATAATTAACGATCTCTCTAAAAGAGACATTTTGTTATCCGGCAGAAATCGTAGCCGGCGAGGGGGGGAGACCGAGGGGAACGTTCTTACGGCGCTTCAATCCAAACATTCACCGTAAAGCTAGTAGCTGCCCAAATATTTGAAAAAGATTCCTATCTCCCGAGGGTCGATACATCGAGAGGCTATACTCGAATGCTCCGCAGCACGGAGAGCAGGTCGACCTTCCGTGAAAATCGACAGGTAGCCGCCGTTTCTCAGGATTTTCTCTACCGTCGGAACTCCCTGTACACCGAGAAAAAGATCTTTCTTCTTCTTCTTCTCCTTCTTCTTCTTCTTTTCCTTTCTGTTGCCGCGGGGCTCGGGGCCCTCTCGTCGACGATTACCCCCCGCGCCCTCCCGCCCTTCTCTTTCAAATGTTTGAAGTTAAGGGATTTTTCTCGCGCTTCATCGATTCGAATTTTCCGCTGGTTCGCTACGCCGCAGGATCCGACACGGCGAACTTTAACTCGGTTTACCTGAGCGAAAGGGCCATGGAATCTGAGAACTCGCGTTACAACTGCAGCGGCGTAAAATACCGAGTACAGTGATTCGCAGAAGTGTACTTACGTACGGCGAATTTCATTTGAATAGCATTTTTATCATGCGTTCGTGGAAATTCTTGCGTCTCGTTTAAGCGACTAGTTAACGCTGTATAGTAAATTCTCCGCAATTATCCTTCAGCTTGTAAGCAAATATCGACAATTTGGGAAGAGGAGATACGATTATTCCAGCCTCGTGGTTCATTCTTATAGTTGCCTATTGTGAACAATTATAAAAACGAGATGCAAGGTGCAAGACTTGAATAATCGTATCTTCTGTTCCCAAATCGTCGCGGATAGATTAGAAAATCTGCTGAACGAAACTGAAAACGGCAGCAGCTGCCTCGAAAAGATAATTCTCTTCAAGTCTCCCATAGTCGTGGACCAATTGTCCTTTGACACAGTGAACAAAGACGTTTCGTTTGACGAATTTACGAGAAAATTGAACGAATCGTTCGAGAGTATAGTTTTCGATCGTCTCAATACCGGAACTCTGATAGCAGAAGAGATTGCGCCTAAAGAGATCAACGACGTCGACTTTGCAAATTTCGCGGAGCGTCTGGCGGCGTCCCGTAATATAACCGATTACTCGATCGACAATCTGGAATGTAATCGCATGGACGTGAAATTCATCAACGGAATGTCGATAGACGAAATAAATGATCTGATGAATCGTCTGAGCATGTACATGAAAGATCTTACTAATGGAAACAGGAGTCTCGATTCTCTTAAGGTGACAGGACAGATCAACGTTAACTCGATCAATGGTGTGAACTTGTCGGATTTATATAAAAACTGTAAGAGTAAATTGATTTTCAAAAACAACGTTACGATCGAAAATCTAACGATCCTCGGATTACTGAACAACATCAACTTCACGGAACGTGTCATGGATACGGTGTTGAAGACGGACAACAATATTACAGTCGACGGGCACAAAACATTTGCCACCGTGCACTGTCGTGAGTTGGAGGCGATCTCTTTGAACGATCGTCCCTTGGAGAATATTTTCGATCCTTATAAAGATCAGTTGTTGACCGGGCCAGTCATTGTGAATGGTACGTAAAAATTCACTGCAGTAAATTCTCCCTAATCCGCGCTCGGATTGTGCAGAAAAATGGACAATTTCGGAAGAGGAGATACGATTACTCGAGCCTTGGCGGGGCTCGTTTTTATAGTCGCCGATTGTCAACAATTATAAAAACGAGGTGNAATATAACCGATTACTCGATCGACAATCTGGAATGTAATCGCATGGACGTGAAATTCATCAACGGAATGTCGATAGACGAAATAAATGATCTGATGAATCGTCTGAGCATGTACATGAAAGATCTTACTAATGGAAACAGGAGTCTCGATTCTCTTAAGGTGACAGGACAGATCAACGTTAACTCGATCAATGGTGTGAACTTGTCGGATTTATATAAAAACTGTAAGAGTAAATTGATTTTCAAAAACAACGTTACGATCGAAAATCTAACGATCCTCGGATTACTGAACAACATCAACTTCACGGAACGTGTCATGGATACGGTGTTGAAGACGGACAACAATATTACAGTCGACGGGCACAAAACATTTGCCACCGTGCACTGTCGTGAGTTGGAGGCGATCTCTTTGAACGATCGTCCCTTGGAGAATATTTTCGATCCTTATAAAGATCAGTTGTTGACCGGGCCAGTCATTGTGAATGGTACGTAAAAATTCACTGCAGTAAATTCTCCCTAATCCGCGCTCGGATTGTGCACAAGAATGGACAATTTCGGAAGAGGAGATACGATTATTCGAGCCTTGGCGGGGCTCGTTTTTATAGTCGCCGATTGTCAACAATTATAAAAACGAGGTGCAAGGCTCGAATAATCGTATCTCTTCTTCCCAAGTTGTCCGTTTTTGTGTCAATTAGGGAGAATTTACTGTGTTTGTAAAGCAGAGTGATAAGTACAATCAATTTTCCCTAATTGACGCTTAGCTTGGAAACAAAAATGGACGATTTGGGAAGAGGAGATATGATTATTCGAGCCTTGCGCCTCTCGTTATTGTAATTATTGACAATCGGCAACTATAAAAATGAGTCGCAAGGCTCGAATAATCATGTCCCCTCTACTCAGATTGTTGCTATTCTTATCGAACAATTGATTAAGAAATTCTTAACTGTAAATTGTAGATTCTCAAAAATTATGAAATTATATCGATGGTAGGTAACGTGACAAGGAGATCCTGAAGTTTACTTTAAACATCACATAATTATTGTGACTTTT